GGAAAGATTTTGCAATTAACCTTGAAAAGGTGGATGATTCCCAGAGGTGCTGCTTTAAGTATGAAGAGGTCATTGTGCTGGGCACTGATGCAGAGCAATACGTAACAGCTCAGTGGTTGTAGGCCTTTGGTACAACATGCACGCGGCTTCTTGGGAGGTCCGCGTGTTGTTAGCTGTAGCAGTGTGTGACTAATCCCAGTGTTTGCCTGCTGATGCCTGGTTGCCAGCACCAGTGTCTTCTCCACACAGGCTGAGGTGTGCGTCTTGTCTCAGACCATGAACAAACTGAAGGAAGACGAACTTTCTATCCTTCCTTCTGGAGGTGGGTGAGAAGGAAGGTGGATTCTCCCTGTGTGGTAGGCTTTGAGTCAAGTAAACTTTAGCATGGCCATGCTCAGAAGTAACAGGAAGACGATGCAAGGAAAAGAACGCTAGATAAGATGCCTTGCAGGGATTTGGGGTAAATGGGTGCACACATACACACACACACATGCATTCACAAACACCCTGTGTGTCCAAGACTGTCAGCATCTCCAAGCTCAGTGAAGTCCTGTGACATGAGAGCAGGGAAGCAACCGTGTAATGCTCTCTTCACTTGTGGAAGAACATGTTGACATGAGCTCCTTCACGTGGCCTTTTGCCTTGGTTGTTTGGGTAAACAGCTTGAGAGATTTTTCTCCAAATCTTGAGGAAAATGTTTGCCTACGTTTCTACCCTGAGGGAGTTTTTGACTGGCCCTGTGCTGCAGTCTGCCCTGTAATTGGGTCTATACCTTGCTGAGATAGGTCAATACCCTCATGCATGTGAAACAACTGTGGGCAATGCAAAAGAGATGCCGGCAGCCCACTAGGAAGCATCTACCTATAGCCTACCTTGAAGGGATGGACCCATTTGTGGCCACTACCAGCAGGGATGATGTCTTAAAATTAATTAAGAGGTGTATATATAGGAGGAATCTTCCAAAAGTCCATGAGAAAGTTGAAGTAAAAAATAAAGGAACTTCTCCATGAACTTTTAGTAGGCTTTGCCACAACTCACAAAATGCCAGTGCTGTCCAACTCTTCCATCTTGGTTGTTGGTGAAAATATTATGATTGTGGATGTGTTGCATATAGGTGTATTAAATTTTGCTGTAAATTTATATCTCATTTTTCAATCCTTACAGACAAAGATGAGATTTGTAAGGAGAGTGATAATAAAAGGCAATAACAATAGCTAAAAAAGAGGTTCAAAGCGACTTTTGAGTCGTCAGAATGAGCCAGAAGCAAATCCACTTCCCTCTCCAGAAAGTGGGGGAAATAACATCTTTCAGGGCTTTGCAAGGATAAAGGGAGGAATGTGTCTCAGGGCCCTTTGTAAACTGAAAATGGGCTATTTGGGGAAACACAAAATTGACAGTCACTCAAAAGCTGTGTTTATCACAAGGAAGTTGTCCTCTGTCAGCCAGTCTTCTGTCCTTCTATCGAGTTTGAATAAGGCATTTTCTCAGACTGGCCAAAACATGGGTTAGAGTGGTCGGTTTTTATTGACTTTTTGGCATGTGTAAACCTCGGAAAGCATTGAATAGTTCAAAAGCATTCAGAAGAAATGTAAAATGAGTCCCTTCGTTCAGGTGGATGATTCTTTAAGGTTATAAGAAAACAAGTGAATTCTCAAATAACAGAGAGGATACTGCAAGAGATAAACTGTGGTTTTAGTTTATTCCAGAAGAGATGTCAGTAAGATGTTTCTTGGTAGCTAGACGTAGACACTATGCTTCCAATTGCTCGGTCAGTTATCCCAAGAACTTTAATTAGCTCTCTCCAGCTTTATTTTAAATGAAAATGGAACAGATATTTTACCTTTAGCCAGTTTTTTTCTTGCACCCTTGATTTCCAAATGTTACTGCCTGTCTTGGGTGCAGTCTGGAGCCCTTCAGCAACTCAGTACTTGCCCCAGGAGCCTCAGGATTCAGCCCCACCTGCTCACGTCCTGAAGACGTGGCCTAGCCTGCCAGGAGATTCAAAACCAGAGGGTGCCGAAATGGCCTCAGATTTTCATTCCAGTTCACAAGAACATGTCACCTCTCTCATGTCAGCTGCATTCATTTCCTTACATTCGTGGAGAAAAGGCATTCGGGCGTGAGCAAGTCCTCTGTGGCAAGGAAGAGAGTCGCACACACTCGGTTCCACCCAAAGATTAAACAATTAACCAATTTAAGACAGACAACGTGGACATTTGAAGTCCCAAAATTGCCGTGAAAAACAAAAAGCAAAAAACCCTCTGAGACTCAAAATAGGACGTGCACCCTGGAGGATCCGAGTTTTAAAGGGTGAAAGGGGGTGGCGTTGGTGAGGAGATGGCAACCGTAACACCTTTGAAGTCCCACGGGCCACTTCTGAACACAGGCCACACTTGGTTACGGCAGGGATCATACTCGCTCATGGCTTCCCAGAAAGGACTCCTGCCTAGCCTGGCCCTCCCTGGAAAGACTGTCTGGGAGGGGTAGGGAGCGGGGAAGCAGGGGTTGAACTTCAGTTCTCCCTCCAGCCTGAAGGAAATGCCAGTCTTCTCCATTCGGGCTCATAAGAGGTTTGGGGTTTGGTTTAAGTGTTTGGGGGCTACAGCCGGAAGCCATCAGGCGCTCTGAGGCAATCTCCGTCTCCCAACTAGAGGCGGGGTGGCCTGCCAGAGACTCAGCAACCACGTATGTAATCCCAGAATCTTACACTGGGAGGAGCTGTATTTTTAACTCTCACCCAATGGAGAAATGCCTCTCCTGTCTATGTCCGCCAATAACCCATTCACTACTTCACAAGGCAGCTCCCTCCTTCGATGGCAACTTCAATGACCAGCAAGTCCTTCTGACACGATTTCCCTCTGCTAAGCCTCGCTTGCCATTTTAGCTCAGCCCCCATGTGTCGTTGCTTACAATCAACCCACTTGGGAAGACAACTGTCTCTTGCTTCCTAAGTCTGGCCTACTCAGGGTTAAGAGACTCATTTCTGCTAACTCTCCCTCACATTCGGGGCTTCCCACAGCCCTCCTGAGACTGTCTACTTGCTTCAGACCTTTTCCTGCTTCAGAATCCCTTCTGTGGATATCCTGAACACGTTCAGAACTGAGCCATTCCCAGAGCGAAGGTATCATCTAGGGGAGAAATCCTGGCAGCGAAGATGCTACCCCACCCTGTGGTGCAATTAACTTTCTTTCTTTAATGTCCTTTCTCTCCATGATCATGTGCCTCCTCCAAAATGATTGGGTGAGATTATGCAAATAAGGTGCTTGTGGACCACAAAGGGGATTGGACAACTTGCTAATTATGCAGATAAGGTTCCTAGAACCCTGCAGAGATTAAAATAAAACAAATTCTGCCATCTAGTTGGCTCCAACTCACAGCAACTCTAGAAGACACAGTCGACCTGCCCTTGTGGATTTCCGAGGCGATGAACCTGTACGAGGGTAGAAGACCTCACGGGTCTCCCCTTGCAAGGCTGGCGTTAGGTACTGCCAAGTTGCTTCTGATACATAGTGAAAGAAACACTGCTTGGCCCTCTGCCCTCCTGACAATTGCTCTTAAGTTTGAGCTCATTGAGGTGGCCCTGGTGTCAATCCATCGTCCGAAGGTCTTCCTCCTTTTCCATGCCCTGTTAGGTACCAAACATGATGGCCCGCGCCAGGGACTGGTCTCTCCTGACAAGTCCAAAGAATGTGAGATGGAGCCTCACCATCCTCGCCTCTAAGGAGCACTTTGCCTGTGCTTCTTCCAAGACGGATTTGTCTGTTCTTTTGGCAGTCCATGGTATTTTCACTATTCTTCTCCAACACCACAATCCACGTGCATGGACCCTTCTTTGGTCTTCCTTGTTCAATGTTTAACTTTCACATGCGTGTGAGGCAATTGAAAATACCATGGCGCCCCTTAGTCCTCAAAGTCACATCCTTGCTTTTCAACACTCTAGAAAGGGCCTGTGCAGTGGATTTATTCAGTACAATGCGTTCTTTGATCTCTTGACTGCTGCTTCCCTGAGAATTGATTGTGAATCCAAGCAAGAGAAATTCCTTGACAACTTCTACCTGTTCTCCATTTGCCATGATGTTACCTATTGGTCCAGTTGTGGAGATTGTGGTCTTCTCTACAGTGAGTTAAATGCATGCACTCCTGATGTTCATCAGCAAGGGCTTCCAGCCCTCCTCGCTTTCAGCCAGCCCGGCTGTGTCGCCTGCACACTGCAGGTTGTCCATAAGCCTTCCTCCCATCCTGAGGCTGCATTGTTCTTCAAATAATCCAGCTTCTCTGATGATTTGCTCACCTGCAGGGATGGGATCATGCAAATAAGGTCTGTGGAACCCTCAAGCCTCCTTAACCCTGCCCAGCACTGTCCATCTACCATCCTCCACAAGGTGCCAGCATGCTCTCTACCATAGTGGGCCGGCCTTGGATCATTTCTGACTCCAAGGCCCAGTCTCCTCACATTTGCCTTTCCTGTAACACCTCTGAGGATGTCTAGGTGGTACAAGCAGTAGAGGAAAGGGCTGGTGAACCACGTCTGTAAAGAAAACAGCCAAAAACACCATGGGATCAGGCTGCCCTGTAACACAGGGGGTCCTGGTAAACAGGAATTCTCAGTTTGGGGAATCCCTGCTATACCCCCAAGAGTTTCTCTTTTCTTGGGCTAGCTACAGAGCATCTGAAAATTCATCACTCCTACCACTGACTTGAGATTACATGTCTGGCCACTGGAGGTGGGTCTTTTCCAAGAGTTCTCTTCTTCAATTAATTGAGCATCCACATCAGCACGGCCTTTCGCTTTTGCTCTCAGCAGGGTAAACCCGATACATGGCCACCATTGTTCATTTGGTTTGAAGAATGCCCTCGCTATACCCCTGGAGGGGGCGCTAGGTCAGCCCAGACTCTGGCTTTTAGAGATGAAGTCGATGAACAGGTAGGACCCTGCAGACTCACTGCATCTAGAAGCTGATCCCATGAGGTGTGCGTCTGCTCTTCTTTTGTATTCCCAGCTGTGCCTCAGATCAACTGTGATGTCAAAGCTGGGAAGATCGCTGATCCCGAGTTCATGGTGAAATGCCCAGCGGGATGCCAAGACCCCAAGTACCACGTGTACGGCACTGCTGTGTACGCCTCCTACTCCAGCGTGTGTGGTGCTGCGGTCCACAGGTGGGTCCCACAGAGCTGCTTCAGGTCCACATCCAGGCTGCAGGCAGGGTTTCCTGGCGGAGCATCGCCAGGGTGGAGAGTTAGCAAACAAAAGTGGACACATTGAAGTGAGCATGCAGTGTTCTCACTCGCCACACCTCTCTGGGTGGGTGCCCAGAAGCTGGGCAGGGCCTGGATCGTCCTTCCCAGCATTCCACAGAAAGGCTTGTTCACCTGGATGGGAAGTGGAGGAGAATCCACGCCTTCACTGTCGTGACAAGGAGACCTACGGTCTCCAGGCTGGAAAGGGTTTACTGTTACGGGCGCTTTCTATCTGTGTGTGCTGATCTATGCAAATACATGTACAAGCCCTTTACACAAAAGAATCTGAGCTGAGCAAGGAACACATGGGGATGCGACCAAGGAAGGAGGAAGGGATGGCACAGCTCTGGCAAGGGTGTGGAGAGGAATGGCAACAGCAAGCAGTAGGAGGGTGGTGGGTGGCACTGCGGGCGGGGATCTGGGCATGAAGACCCGAGTGTGGTATACTTCAGATAAAGTCACCGCCCAAGTGAAGGGAGGTTAAAGTGACCTTCACAAAATCATTACGCCTCTTTCTAGTCAAAACGCTGGGAAGCGCATCTGATTATAAGGCTGCTCTTGATGAACCAGCGAGTGTGCTATCTCTATTTTACTCTCACAGAAGGGCCCCTCTGCAGTAACAACTCCTACTCTCCACATTGAAAGAGGAGGCAAGGTTGAATAACCTTTCTAAATCCAGAGTATTAAACAGTACCAGAGTGGAGACTCCATCCAGAGTCCTGCTGACTCCGGACCCTGCACCTCTAACCCGTCCCTCACCGCCTTCAGGCGGGCCTCTGACTCCACCCTCGGGACACAGGAGAAGGTGTCTGGACTCCTCAGGAGGCTGCTGTCTTTTCCTTTTCTTTCCCTGCACCCTGCTCAGTGGCTTGTTCACCTGGACTTGTGCCAACGACCGAGGAGGAGGTGTAAGGCTCAGCCCCTTTCAAAAGGACGAATGTCAGCAGCCTCTCTGAAATTTGGAGAAGGGATGAAAAAATAAAATGTGAAAAAGATGAAAAAGAAATATGTAAAATAAGGTCTGACCATCACTAGTCAATTCTACAGACCTTCCCCTCCTCCGCCCAAAACCCCACAGGGAGGATGAGCTCACTCGCTCACCAACTGGAGCAGGAATCCTTAAGCTCTATTAAAGAGGAATAGTTGAATATTAAAGAAATATGAGAGCACATATGATTTCCTAATGCCAATCTCTGGATTAAAAATATTTATCTTTCACTCTGAGATCAATTTCATGCAAAAAGGAAACAAGTGTCCAAATCTATACCCACATATACATGTACAGGCCCTTTACACAAAATAGTCTCCCTCCTACTGTACACAGATGCATGTTCCCCACACCCTCTCATGCACGCGTTCACACCTAGCCAGTCCCGCCCACACGGTCATCACCGTGCAGTCTGTGTGGGCTCTCGAGTACAGGAGCAGACATCTGCTGCACAGCATGAGCCCCTCTTAAGATCACCTGTGCTTTCCCACTTTGATCCAAGAAGGGTGTCAGTCACTTCCTCAGGCACTTGCTGGCTGGCTCTTGTCTTCCCATGTTTTCTGTGCAGGACAGAGACACGTGGCTAGGTTGCCCTTGCCAAAGATGTCAGCATAATGATGGTAATCACCCACCCCTCCAGCAGCGTCACCCCTCGAGGGCTGTCAGGGCCCCCAGTTTTAAAAGGTGAAGTGAGGAGGTGAGATATAGGGAAGGTAATTAAATCTTTAGCTAGT